TCTTTTTAATCCTGGCAACTGTTCTTGGAGACACATGCTAAGTTGTCTGGACCATACTGCAGTCAATACAGAGTAAGTCTTGTATTTGAACTCAATGGTGGTAATTCAGATTGGAGATCTTCTTTGACTTTGAAGCTTGAATCTAATGGTGTTCCCTGCTCACCCTAGAAACCCACAGTCTCAGCCACTTCTGCTAGGTGGCCACACTTGCCTGATATTCAGCCTCCTCATCTCCATATTTTGGCACTTTGAGTTATATCAGGTAGTGGAAACCAAACTTATTATCATATCCCTGTGTTCTGAAAAAAAATAAAAGAAAAATAATACATGAGTTCAGCTAAAAACTGAATTTTAAGTGGATTTCAGAAAGTCATTTGAGTGCTGCTGTCTTGTTAAACTGAGCCTTTTGGTACCATGCTGGGCAGTGGCAGAGAGACTGCTAAGAAGTAGCATGAATTTGGCCCAGTATCTCACCCATAGGGGCAAAGGTTCATGGAGATGTTGATTTTGTTTGGGGTGGCTTAGAATACACATGACTCTTTTCTCAGTGAGAAGGTGAATAGTAAATAGAGAAACAGGCCAGTGTGTATGGATAAGCAAATATTTCCAAGTGTGCATCTTTGCTTACTGGTGTAAGCAGCTTTCTGAGACACTGGCTGACAAGAAGGTTTCAGGTTGTCATGTCAACACTTGTGGTTTCTTTACCTGTATTTGCTGTGGCTTTTTGCTTTATTTTAAGAGCAGATTAGTAAATTTGTATAGGTTCAAACATTTGCCTGGTGGGCAGGAAATTGCTCTACAGCACACCCTGGATTTTAGGCCTTTTCCTCTCCTCCCAGTGGGAGATAGAAAGCCAGGACCAGCCACACATTGTTTTCTCTGAGAACTCAAAGACAAAGAGGAAGGGACATGTAAGTGAGAATGCTGGGCATGCTGGTTTTGCCACAGAATCAAAGACTGGGGAAAAACTAAACCAAACCAAACCAAAACAGGAGAAACAAAACATTTCAGTCTCCTCCCTGGAAAGATCATTTGGGATAACAATGCAGAGAAGTGTATTTGGGATAACAATACAGGAAATAAGTGGCCCTAGATCTCATTGGAACTCAAGTCTTATTTAGCCTGACAATATTGGTCTGTACGCTATTAAAATTGTATCTTAGATATCAGAAATCATTGCATGAAGAAGAGAAACACTTAGCATTGCTTAAAAACTCAGAAAATTTGGGCGCTGGTGGCTCACGCTTTAATCCTAACTACTCAGGAGGCTCAGATCTGAGGATCATGGTTCAAAGCCAACCTGGGCAGGAAAGTCCATGAGACTCTTCTCTCCAATTAACCACCAAAAAAACTGGAAGTGGCACTGTGGCTCAAGTGGTAGAATGCTCACCTTGAACTGAAGAGCTCAGGGACAATACCCAGGCTCAGAGCTCAAGCCCCATGACCAACCAAAAAAAAAAAAAGTATATTAAGTGAAATAAGCCAGGCCTAAAGAAATATAGGTCCTATGGTTTCCCTTATTTGCAATAACTAGTGTATGTCTGGGACAAGCAGAAAAGGTCAGATAAGATGATATTAAGCGAAATGAAGCCCAAGATAGGGACACAAGTGGATTTTTTCTTCCTTGCTATTGTTTCTAACGTATTTATAAGGTACTATGTGATTGTTTTGTTGCTTTATATGTTCCTCCCCCATAGTATATACAGTGAAAACAGGGGTTTATATTATATTAGATTATATTGGTATAATTTGGGTAGGGGAAGGGAAAAAAACAAATTGTTTAAATAGGGATACAGATTGACCCATTGCAACAATGAGATGTACAAGATCCTACATCGAAAGCCAAACATTACAATTTATGTGTGTGGGGGGGGGTGGTGTTGGGGGAGTGTAGCTGAGGAGATGGGAGGGAAGGGATAGTAGGGGAAGAAGAAAGGAAGAGGCAACAATGCTGGATAAGACATGTACTCATTCCCTTGCTCATGTAACTGTAATCCCCCTGTACAGAATTTTCACAATAAAAAAACTTAATTAAAAAATAGATAAATTGAAAAGAAAAAAAGAAAAACCTCAGAGAAATATAAATACATTGGTCATGATGAGCTACAGTAGAGTCTCAGATTCTGCCTTTCAGGAGCCAAACATTTGCCCTTTTGTGGTAGTGACCTGTTATGGCTCAGTGTGGACCAGCACGGAGCTCATGTGCCAGCCGCCATCAGTCATCAGATCATCTCATTCCTTTTCTTTTCTTTTTTTGTTTTTGGTTGGGGGTGGGGTGCAGGGTGGTTAGTAGGAATATAGGGTTTTGGAGTCTTGATCCACGCTTCCAGCCTTCATTTCACTGTTTGTTTGTTTGTTTGTTTGTTTTGTCTATCATGGGGCCTGAACTCTTGGCCTGGGCGCTGTCCCTCAGCTCTTCAGCTCAAGGCTAGTGCTCTAACAAATGAGCCATAGTACCACTTCTGGCTCTTTTCTGCTTATGTGTATGTGGCGCTGAGGAATCGAACCCAGGGCCTCATGCATTCAAGGCCAGCACTCTTCCACTGAGCCACCTTCCCAGCCCTCATTGCTGGGTGTCGTGGGCATTTGAGTTTATTAGCCTTCTTATTAAAGGCCTCCTATTCTCTAGGCAGATATTTAGGCCTTGTCCTAGGTATTGAGGCTTGCTTGTGGTTATGACACTGGAGCGTGGGTTTTAGAGGTGACACTGGTAGTTTAACGTTGGATCTATTTAGCTTCTAAACTTATATTCACAGAATCCTGGTTTGAAATCTGTATCAGGGGCAACATAGCTAGATAAGAAAACTGTGTTCCAAGTGGTATAGGTAATAGAAAGAAGAGAAAATACTCTGGAAATGCTTCAGAGACAGGATTGTTCAGGTTTAGGACCAAAGTGAATTGTATAGAATATGGAAGAAAGAAAAGCTAAAGGGCTGAAGACCCTGAGCATGTGATTGGACTGCTAACAGAAAGAATGAAGTCAGTATTAGTCATGAATTAGTTATTGATTCACAGTTACCAAAGCAAATAGACTGTACTCATATATGGGCATTCAAGAAGTAGGAATTTATGTCACATAATTTGTTTCTCATCAAGATGTGGATTTATTAAATTAGATCATGTGTGTAAATTAATCTGTGTGATAGCTAGCTATATAAATATGAGTAAGCCCCTTTCTGGAGAGCAGATTCTCTTTGAATACAAAGTCTCTGTTTCATTCAGTGTTGTACTCCTAATCCCCAAGGATAACTGATACAAAGTATGTATGCAAGAATGATGAACTCATTGAACTAATCATTAACTGAGGATAAGCAGGAATACTTTAATCTATTTTTACTTTAAGCTTAACCATTACAAAATTTTGCTTATTTAAGCCATTACCCTTTATCTCTATTGCTTATACCTCTTCCATTCAATCTAATACCTATGTATGTAGATACACTTATGCAAGGAGCAACTACATTAGACAGATGTATACAATGATGTATGTATTTTTATTTCTTGTCCTGGGGCTTGAATTCAGGGCTTGGGCGCTGTCCCTGAGTTTCTTTTTTGCTCAAGGTTAGTGCTCTACCATTTGAGCCACAGCCCACTTCCAGCCTTTTCTGAGTGGTTTACTAGAGATAAGAAGAGTCTCATGGATTTTTCTGCCAGTGCTGGCTTTGAAGTGCATTCCTCAGATCTCAGTCTTCTGAGTAGCTAGGATTACAGATGTGAGCCACCAGCACCAGCTGCTTATGGTATTTAATGATAAAGATTTGCCTACTTTTTTTTTTGTCTGATCCTTAGGCTTGAACTTTGGGCCTGGTCTCTGTCCCTCAACATTTTGCTTGAAGCTAGAGCTCTAGCTCTTGAGTCATTCATTGGAGATAAGAGTCTCACAGACTTTCCTGCCCAGGCTGACTTCAAACTACAATTCTCTCATCTCAGCCCACTGAGTAGCTAGGATTACAGGCATGAGCCAACATAGCCTAGAAGATTTGCCTACTTTTAGTCTTAAATAAATCTTTACTTTTCACTTTGACCACCTGCTTTATCATGCCATGAAATTAACCATTTTAAAGCAATTTGTAAAGCAATTTCTTTATAAATTTCCTGTAGGTTTTTCAGAACTAACAAATAACCAAATGGACTGAATTTTCCTGGTTGATCCTGTAGTCACAGAATGCTTTTCAAATCAAGTACTTCTCTCTTGTTCAGCTATCTTAGTGGTTGATATTTTCAGAACATTTTGCAAGTATTATAAGTTTTATATAAGTAATAAGTAGAAACACATAATTCTATTTCTGTGTACTTCCTTAAGCCCATTCCTTTCCTCCAAAATAATCATAGCTAATTTTTATATACAGCTTTTGAAATGTTAATCCATTCAGTTGTGGCACAAACCTACATATCTACACAGACAAGGGCTTATTAAGACATAAATTAGATCATAGCATAAGTAATTCCGGGTAATTTCTCAAAGGTAGCAGAGCAGTGCCTCTTGAAGAAATCATGTCAATGTGTGTATCTACCTAATCTTTTAATTACAGCATGACATTCTGTCATATGTATCTCAGCTTATTTAAATATTGTTTAATTCATGGACATTTAGCCTGTTTTCAATTTTTCATTGCTTTGATTAATGCCATAATGAACATCCTTGCCTTTCCTCCTTGTGAAAATATGAGTCTTTCTGTAGAAAGCATCCCTTGAATTAGAATTGCTGGTGTATAAAATATGCACATGTAAAATTCCGATAGCTACTTCAAATTTGCTCTTCCTTAAAGCTAAACCAATTTACTCCATTGCCAATAGGATATGAGATTAACTCTTTCTCCATTCCTGTGTTTATAGTAGTAGCTATAGCCATCTTATTTGATAATAATTTCAAGTTGTGTGGATAAGAAAGTGAAATACCGTTGTTATTTTAATTCCTATCACTGATCCTTCATAAACTAGATCTGTATGTGCCGCTGAGAGCTTGACTTACCATGTTCTCTTGTGCCCTCTCTTTTCAGATGCTCACTACCTCACCTGCAGGATCCAGGAATGTGCAGAGACAACTCGGAGTGGCCCCTTTGCCCGCTCCATTGATATCAGCTCCCTGGTTGTCCAGGACGAGTATATCTTCATTCAAGTGAGTGCAGACTGCACTGTTCATAGTAGAGATCAGATGTGCTAAGCGAAGTCAGCTGCTTGCTATGAAAATAAATATGGTTTTCTTGAGGTTGTTGAACTATAGAGTCGGGCTTTATCTCTCCTTCACTCTGGGGGTCCAGTGTCTGATGATACCACAGACTTCTGCTATGAGATGAAGTCTTATGGCTCAGTGTCCTGCCCAGGGTATTCTGGTAGTCCACTGAATCCTTGAGTTGGATTACCATTTCATGGTAATGGAGTTGTCTTGACATGATTAGGTTCTGGACTGAGGTTTGAGGTTATTTAAAGTCAGATGTCTAATGGGCTTTGACATTAAGTAATTTATCAATGTCATGTTCTATTTCTGCCTAAAGTGACTTATCTAACTTGCGAAGAAGTCCCCAATAAATTAGGCATTGCTAAGATTTTCCTTCTGAAAACTGCTCAGAACTCAGTAAATCTTTCCCTCTTTTTTCAGCTCTGACTATACCCTCAAGTTCAAGACCCAAACCCCTCTACTCACAAAACTCTGACCCTTAGAGGAAATTAGATGAAACTTACATTTTGAGGCAAGAAAAGGAACCATTCTTTTAGGCTTTGAGTTGTATGGTTTCAATATCCTGGAAGGAGGTCCAAATAGAACAAAGATGAAGAGATATAAAAATGTATACTCATATACTATATTGACTGTCGTGTGTGTGTGTGTGTGTGTGTGCGTTGTAAATGAAAATTGGCATTTGACAGCATCTTTGACTTTCTGTCATTTTCATTATTCTATCCTCAGTTGTTCTACAGACTTCTCCCTCTTTGAGTTTTCTCAGATTTAAAGATCTGACATATGAACATTCTCTGCCTGATCCCTGGCTTTTAAGTTAATATCCAACTCATTCCTCCAAGACATCCTAAGAACTTCCTAACTCCATCTCCCCCATCTTCCTGACAAAGTACTCTCCATCTACCCTTACAGCTCTATGGCCTACATAGAGATATAATGTAAAAAATTTTTACACTGAGAGTAGAAAAAATACTTTATACCTTTATTTGGCTCCTTATTCTTGGCCCTCACAAAATATCTTTGTGACTCTGATGTGTTTGTGAATTATTGTTATGCTGATAGCTTTTCAGTATTACAGTTACTCCTTTCTAAAACTTGTGTGGAATTTTGTGGCCTAGGAAAATATTAGATAGGTACTTAGACTCCTAGAAACCAGCTTCAAAAACAGAAATAGGAAGTATCTTTGGCCTAAGATATCTTGTTTTGCAGCTTGAATCAATGCCAGAAGCTCAGGATTTGTTTAAAATAAGGCTTGGCAGGTATATTGAACACATACCTGACAAAATACACAGTGCTAGTCAGTACTCTTGGCATTTGACATAAATTTCCTATTTTTGTGTTTGATCTGCTGCACTTGAGACCCAGGACTTACTTCTTGAGCATTCCCATAGTTCTGAGTACCATATCCATTTTCTCAGGACTATAAATCAGTGAGTGAGTCATGACTTCCATCATACACTTCATATGTGTATCTCAGCATCCCAGTGTGGATGATCCACAGGAAAAAGAAAGAAAACCAATATGTCCCTTTAATGCTGGAAACAAACTGATGTCACCATTACCTTCTATGAAGTTAGTCAACGTAGTTGGGTCAATGCTGCCAAATTGAATAATCCAGAACCCTAACTAATATTTTTCTTAGTTATTTCTTGGGTGTTTCCTTACATTCTGTTTCAATGATTATCAACCTCACGGAAGTTATTTTCTCTGGCTTTCTATTAAAGATTAAAAAAAAAAACAAAAAACTTGAAGCACAGGAATGATTTATGCATTTACCAATCCTGTTGCCCTTTCCTTTCTTTAATGCTAATACTATATATAATGAGGATCATGGCAGAATGGTTTCTGGGAAATACATTTAAAATATAGAATATTCCGATTTTTTTCTATGTGTTGCACAGTTTTCTGTAACTCTGTGGGCAAATATCCAGAGTGTTTCTCCAGCACTTTGTATTAGCATCAACTAGATGTCCATGGAGACTTCATTTTGACATATTCATGTATGCATACAAGGTACGATAATCAGACTTAAATCTCCCCGTCATTCTCCCTCATGCCTCTACCCACATCCCAAACAAGGCTTCTTTTTATGTTATGCCAGAAGCAAGTGGAAGTGGTTTTTGACCTGGCATCATATTTATTTTGTTTGAAAGATGTGAGGTTCCATCATTCAGTAGGTTGCCTTGTACATGTGAGGTCCTGGTGCTAGGTGCTAGGGTTTAGATTATAGACAAAACAAACTGGAATACATTCTTGAGGAATACAAAAGAAGATATACAAATGATGCATACATCCACACGTAAATACATGTTATAAGAACATGTCACTCAGAGCCAATGTTAATGTTTCTTGTGAACTTACATTTTACCTATTTTGGGGACCTGAATTCTTCAGGTGACAAGCTTCTCATATACAGGAGACATAGAGTAGCCATAGATCAGGTCTCTGTTTCCATTTATCAAAAGTCCTCCTTGGTTCTCAGTGAGGTTCCCTGACTCAAGATGTTTTGCTCCTAAAGCCCAGCCCTCTTGGAGCACAGTATATGTGCTTTCTTCCCATGTGTGTTGTATTCCCACATGGTGAAATTTTCAGCAAGTATAGAATCTACATTTTTCTTCTGGTTTTGCTTATTTTTTCTAGATGTTTGATGAGAAGAAAAGGAGAAGCACTAGCATTGCTTGGCTACTTAAAACCCTTCAGAAATCCTTAATCGTATATTTTCCGAAAGGTTGCAGTAGCTTTCTAACTGATCTCCTTGACCCTAGATCAGCATACCAACTTCTAGTCCATTTACATCCCTGCCAAACTCATTTATTTAAAATAAAATTCAGCGTTCCTATTGTTGGTGGCTCTTCATCACCAACAGGATAAAATCTGACGCCTTAGGGTTGCCTACAGGAGTCTCCACAGCTGCAACCAAAGGAGCCCCATCAGTCTCTTGGGAATTCCTTATGCACTATTGCTCTTCCTACACTTCCCTGTCAATAAACATAGACCTTTTTAGTCTCTATGAATATACTATGACATTTCTTATCTTATATTAAGTTTCTTGTATTTTCTTTTTGTTTGGAGTGTCCCTTTACCAGATATACTGACATGCTCAATTGAGATCAGAGCAGGCTCCAGTGCTGACTGTTTATGCATTTGTATTATATCTCCCTAGCTAGGTCTGTAAACTCCAAGAACAGGGCTATGTCTTATTCATCATTGTTTCCCCCGCACTTAGCATAATGACTGGTACTCAATAAGTGTTTGTCGAACTGAACTGAATGGAGAAGATAAGGTACCATCCTTATTTTCGGAGAGTGTAGCTAGTTATCTCTTTCAAGCAAGGAAATCTTGTGTCTGCAGCTAACAATATAAGACAACTTAGGGTAATTGGCAATTGCTCACTGCATAAGCAATGCCCATGTGTAGAGTGTCTCTGAGTTTTTATAAGACTGCTGTCCAGGAATTACCCAGTGTGTTATTCAGTGCCTTTTTTATATTAATTCATTTAAATATATTAAAATACATTCATCCCTGTGGGGAACACCAACAACTAAACAATTATAATGCAGTGTGATGAGAGCTGTATTAGTGGGAACCATGAGTTGTTCCTGGTGGGAAGGAGAGCTCTTCACCCTGCCTGCAAGGAGGGTCGGTGCTGGCCTAGTGCATAGGAGGCTGGAGAGCAAGTGAGGTATGCAGAGATGAAGAGCACTGTGTTCCTGTGGGACAGAGGTGCCCTTGAACCATGCCAGGGAGGCAAAAGGACACAATGACCAGGACCTCTCTACCTGAAACAATTTGTAGTTGTGGCAAGGAGTAGGATGTCGGGAAAATACACCAGACATGTTTTTCCTGGAGAGGTTAACTTCTCTATTTCCTTTCATTGAATCCCGATAATACTTACGTTTCTCTATACAACTACTTTGAGTTTCTCTCTCGATAGTACAAAACTAATATTTGTGTCGATTTTAGCATCTGCCTTACCTAATTTTCAAAGTACTCTGATGCTTCCCATCTCTTTTTCTCTAACATTGGTTACTTTAGCTGTTTGGATTTTTGTTTATGTGTTTGAATGAGACCAAGTCTTGGTATGGAGCTCAAGCTAGCCTCAAATTCATGACTCGCTTGCCTGAGTGCCTCAGTGCTACAGGTACAGGTATGCAGAATCATGGCCTACCATTGTCATAATCTGATCGTGTGTTTGCTTTCTCTTACTATTCTTGCTGTTACTGCTTATTTTGTGTATGTTCATTTTTAAAGCATTGAAAACCTTCTCAAATAATTGACTGAAATATGGATTTTTATTCTTTTAAGGGAGTATGAATTTAGAAAATTGGAATGTGAATCAGAACAGTCTTTATTGAAAAGGTCTGATTCATACTTTGGTGATTAATATGTGCCTAAGAAGCAAGGACAGAGCTGGATCCTTCATTCTGCCTCCCTCCTTCATTTCAGCTGCCTCTGAAAGCTTTCTCAAAGCAGAAAACCCACAAACCAACAGCAAATTCTCTTTCAGTTTAAACCTACAGATTATATCTTATAGAACATCAGTGTAAGCAGCAGTCAGTTCACCTTGACTACCATCTAACAAACAATAATCTTTGGAAGAAACAGTTGTGAAGTCACATTCTTGTAATCTTAGCTCTCAGGAGGCAGAGGCAGGAAGATCAGAGTTCAAGGCCAGTATAGGCTATATAGTGATTTGGCAACATAGCCAGATACTATCTCAAAAGAAGTAAAAAGATAGGAAATCATTTTCTAAAGGAAGTCTGAATAGAAAGAATGAGATGCTATCAGAAAGTAAGAAAGAAAGAAAGAAGGAAGGAAAGCGAGCAAAAGAAAGAAAGAAAGGGAGGGAGGGAAAGAGGGAGGGAGGGGAGGGACTAATACAGTTGTGAATCAAATAGTAAAGCATTTGTCTAATAAGCAATCTTGAGTTCCATCTCCTCTGT